GAGACCCCTAATGTCTCCATAAAGAGGACCTGTCAGTGTGCCTTTGCTATTATATAGGGGGATTGTTATCCCCCTATATAATAGCAATAACAATAAGTGCAAAAAAATATAAATAAAATAAAAGTAACATATAAAAAAGTAAAATAAAATAAAAGTCACATATAAAAAAAGGGGGGGAAAAAACCCCAAAATGTTTAACTCCACCACCCAAATGTTTACGCGCCTATAAACGTAAATACGCGTCCGGGGGCCCCAGCGTGCAAAAAATACAATTGCGCTACACATGTTACATATGGCGGCGAACGTCGCAGTGAGAGCAATCATTTTAGGGCCATCAATCACTGATAACACTAAACTGTTGAGCGGTAACAGCTTTTAAAGCGTCGCCTATGGCCAATTTTGGGTGTTATCGTTTTTTGAGGTTTCGCGCGTACGCAATTTTAAGGCTTGACATGTTTGGTGTCTTTTTACCCGACGTGACCGAGTCTTTTATATTTTACCAAAAAATTGGGTAATAATAAATGTTTTATCATTTAATATAGGGGAAACTGTTTTGTTTTTTTTAAAATTTCGGTAATTTTTCCTTAATATAGTAAAAAAATAAAAACCCCAGTGGTTAATAAATACCACCAAAAGAAAGCTCTATCTGTCCCCAAAAAAGGGTATAAAATTCATTTCAGTACAGCGCTGCATGACGGAATAAATGTCAAAGTACCGATGCGCTGAATACTGAAAAATGGCCTGGATGGGAAGGGGGTTTAACACCGCGGATGTCAACTGGTTAAGATTGTATTCACAGTACCAAAGGCAGGCTACAGAAAATCTAACAGGGAAACAGAAAATAATAAGAAAATAAAATAGTAAATGTAGTGATTTTTTTTTTTTTTAAATCAGTGGGCATGTATAGGCAAAAAAAGTGAAGAGGGCAGATTCATTTTGTGAATGATCCCAAAAATTAAATAAAATGAATCATTAAATTACATGAATGAAGAATAAAGTGAAAAAATATTTAAGCTAGTATTCATACAACTTTACCTACATGATAGAATATGATCACAAAAATGTTTTTAGCAAAACACAAAATACCAGGACCATGTCTCTGTAATGTCATGTGAGCTGGACTGAAAGTACAAACAATGTTATCTCACTTCTGTAAACAACTAATCCTAAGTAATGGAGATGAAGAAAGGAAGACATATTTGAAGTAAATCCTGGGTGAAATCCGTGGCTTTCTCCATAGATACAGTGGAGGGAGTGTAGCCATTCTAGGACAGGAAGTGTGTTATGCATAGGATTACCAGGTAAAAAGGAAAACAAGCCTAAAAAAAGAAAAAAAATACGACCACCAACTCTAAGGACTGGTAAACTGCAACACTGAGCTGCACATGCATGCTGCAATTGCGGTATTCCTTTTTGCCAGGATGAATTAACTCCCATGCACATGTATGCAAATTAGGTCATCCTGGGCTGGCCAATTAAGTTGGTCAAAGACGCCAAACTTGGAAGAAGACTTTTCGCATTGTATAGATCAGAGTTTCTCCACCTTTTTTTACTCACCGCACCCTTTAAAAGTATGCAAAATCTCCTTCTCATTGGAGTTCTGCTCTTTCCCATTTGACCCCCCCTTCACATAAGGAGCCCCCCTTCCACCTTCAAATGAAAATGAAATCAAAAAGAATTAGCGTCCTCAGTCCCCCCTTCACATCAGAGTCCTACCATCACATCAGGAGCTGCAGCGGCACTGACAGGGAGAGGGAGGCACCCTGGTTGAGAAAGGCTGGTGAAGATTTGTGACATAATAGTCCATATTAAATCTATTTTAACTCCTGGTTGTAATACTATAAACTTTTGATAAAGCTAAGGGGGGTTGAATAGTTATGTAAAACACTGTATGTGGACTGTAAAAGGTTTATTGCTCCCCTTCTGAATTAGACTTATATCAACGTATCAAGGATGTACAGGTGATAGAACACTTAACTGCTAGACTAAATAATACTTTACGAGCTTATAAAAACATCTGGGAAAGCTGGGTTAGCAAGATGAGGGTTGAGTTGAAAGGTCTGCTTTTAAAGTGTATTTCAACTGCTTATTTTTGTTACTGGACTAGTAACCTTTATCATGAAGATCTCTGGATAGGACTAGATGTATTGCTGTCTCATTATTTCCATTGTCTCCTCTATATTTCTCTATCTCCCCTCTTTTTATTTCATAAAATAGTTTTGTTTTTTTCTATATTTCCCTATAAGAGATATATTAGAATTGTATTGTGAATGGTTATATTCTAGGATGGCCTTGTTTTTCATTCACACGATGATATTTGGAATATTTTGCATTATTCACATATTTGGTTGATATACTGGGAAACATTGGTCAAATAGGAACATCTTCTTGTATTACTTTGAATGTAACTGTTAATGTGTTGAAAATTAAATTCATGGATGTTTTGTTATTCTGCATTCTTTTCTGTAGTTCTTGTTGAAAAATCTTAAATAAAACAATGTATAAAAAAAAGGTTTATTGCAACTTCTAAAACAGGTAAGTGCAGTTTGTTTGAATGTATCATACCAACGCCTATAAATTTCAGCAGGGTACTCTACATATGGAACTTCTTACACTGCCACACATGATGAGATATTTTGTTATAATCCAATTTCCTAGGTTATTATTGCAATGTCACTACCCAAAGCACAGAAAATAAATATTACAATCTAATTAAATGTTTAAATGATTACACAATTGCGGTTAATTAAGTGAACTTGTTGGGCTGAACTATTACCATTTATCTGGACTACAAGAGCAAGAACTTTTCCATGTATGTGCCATAGTTCCCACAATGTAGACCCATTCCTCTGGATGCATTCTCTATTACATAATAGAAGTATGCAGTGAACAGAAACCCACTTCTAGTGTTTACGGCAAGTGGGAAGACCAATAGAGCCTCAAACAGATATAAAAAATCCTCACAAATACATAAAAGTGAATTTATATCAGTATCTTTAAGTAATAATAGTAATCATCACAACAAAATGCTCACCTCTCTGTTGAAAATCCAAGTAGTACCTAAAAATAACAAACCATTATTAAAAGGATCATTATAATGGTCTTGGCTCAAAATAATTTACATTTG